CTCCAGAGATACAAAGAGGGGATAAAAAGAAGAGAGGCAAAAAAGGCAAAATTCCAGTATCCATGTGGAGCTGGGGAAATATAAATTTATATTCCTCAATTTCCACATAGAGGGGTTTATTTTATTGAAGCCATAAGGGGAATAGGACCCCTGGGAACTGGGTCCAATGGGCACAAGGAAGGTGCCCAAGTCATCCGCCCTGCATTGATTTGCAGATATTCCCTGAAGGATCAGGGGTTGCTGCTCCTGTTTGTATCAATTCTTAATGGAAAACAAGGTGTGTGTGTGGTGGGCCCTGAGTTGTGTCCAGCCACAAAAAGGAGGGAAAACAGGATGTTTTTCTGGATTTTTCTTTCCCCAACTCTGGAGATGCAAGGAGGGGACAAAAAGAAGGGAGGCAAAATTTCAGTATCCAGGTGGAGCTGGGCAAATATAGATACAGATGCTGCTGCTTCTTGGGGTCATCCCACTGCAGCTTCACCCCACAGCATTTCTGTGGTGGCATCTCTGGGATCTTTACTGGGGATTTTTTGTCTGAAACGCAGCCTGATCCCCTCTGTGCTGTAGGGAAGGCATTCAGTGGTGTTCTTGCAGCACTCCTGGTGTTCCCAAAGGCAGGCAGGACTTTCCCTTGTGCATTGTCACCACTGTGGCTGCCACAGATGTGCTGCCCTCTGGGCCTTGGGCGCCTCTGAGGATGTTTTGGCTCTGTTTTCTCACCATTTTCCCATGTAAGAGTTGTATTTTTCAGTGAAGTCTCCCTGCTGAGCCTCCCCTTGTGCAGTCCATCCTCCAGCCCTGACCCTGCTCCCTGCATTTTCCATTTCCCAGAGCAGATGGGGCTGCTCCATCCCTGCAAGTGTCCCTGGACAGGGCTGGGAGCACCTGGGACAGTGGAAGGTCTCCCTGCCCGTGGCAGGGATGGCACTGGGTGATTTTAGGTCCCTTCCAACCCAAACCATCTGGGATTCTAAGATTCCTCCAGCTCATCAGTGTGCTCTTCCCCTGGAAGCAGCATCCAAATGGAAACTCCTGCAAGGATCCCAACAAAACCCCCCTGGGAGCATCCCTCTGTTTGATCAGTGAGCTGTGATCCCTTTCTCACCCCAGTCCTCCCAATATTGATTAATTCCCCCAAGATCCCATTTCCTCCCTCTCCTGGAGGAGTCTCACCCCAGTGCTGTTGTCCAGGAAAAACTGAGATCCAAAACAATTCTGATGGGGTCCAAAATAATTTGAACAATTATTTCTTCCTGCTCTTCTCCAGGAGTGGCACGAAACCTTTCAGGGGCTCTCTTGTGGGAATTTGTAGAAATATTTTTAAAGTTTGATAGAAGGTTTACATAGTATATATTGGTATGTAATTTTTGAGATAGGAAATGTCAATTTAGAAATATTATAGAATAAGGCAGATATTGTTGAGAGAGAAATGGAATTAGAAATAAGTTTTAAAGGATGGTTTTATAAACAAGACTGGATATTTTAAAGAAATATAACTGTAAAAGCTACAATAGAACTCACAAGAAGTAATTTTAGATGATTGGTTTTAAAGGATTTACAATATAGTGTGGTAAAAGTCAATAAGTTAAGAAACACTTGTATTGTAATTGAAAAATAGTTTCTGATTATAATAGTGTAAATTATAATGTAATAGTGTAAATTATAATATAATAGTGTAAATTATAGTATCTGTATTATCTTATTCTTCACATAAAATTAAAAATAAATTTTTAAAGTACTTCTCAATTACTCTAGGACTAAAATAAAAGTTTTTTAAGCACTTCTCAATTACTCTAAGTAAAAAAACCCCTGAATCCACAGTGTCTAGGAGCAGCAGCTTCTCCCCGTGCCACCACCCGCAGGAGCGCGGCCGGGAGGGGACAATGGTGCCATTGAGGGGACAGTGCCCTGCGCTGCTGTATTGTGCCTGGCACAGATGCCCGGGGCTGACCCTCCTTGCCTTTGTTGCAGGGCTGAGCTGGAGCTGCCGGGCTCTCCCTGCCAGCCTGGGCCCCGGGAATGCGCTGAGCTGAGCTGAGCCGAGCTGAGCTGAGCAGCCGCCGCTCCACGGCTCCGATTCCTGCCTGGGAAAGGTACGGCACCTGCAGGGGATTGTTACTGGGGCAGGGCAGCAC